ACACAGTGTTCACACAACATTGTAAAGCATTTATAGACAAAGATGGAATTCGTTTTTGGAAGGAATTAAGATCAATGTGTATGTCTTTACTGTCTGTTCTTCAGGGTCTGAGGCTGCTGGGGATCCTGGATGTCCAGAACACTCCTTGTGCCAGGGAGGCCATCCTGCATGGAGCTGGGGGCTCAGTAGCTGCTGGGCTGCTTTATTTTCTGGCTACTAGTGAGTCTTGAGTCTGAAATGTCTCTGAATTTACTGCTTGCTTGTTTTTATTACTGTCACTCAAATGTTAAAGTAAAGCTACTTTTGGATGCTCCCTTGCCACAAGAGGTCGCTACAGCAGGTAACTGTAGTCAACAGGGTTTATAAAGGGGATATGCATAAAATAAAGAAAGGATGTGTTTTATAATTGTTTTTATGACGCTGCATTACTGTATCTACATTATAATCAATACAGTCCTTTTAAAAAAAAGCTTTTCGATAACAATGCGACTTTATCTGGATAAAAGCAGAAAATCTAATAGTCACTTTGCCAAAACCTGATCGCAGCTTCCACCCTGTGAGAGGGATGCTGTTTGCGACTCAAAATGACTTTATATGTTTCATGAGTAATCTATTTGACAAACATATCACAGATTATAGGCCAACAAGTCACTTAGAACAGTTTAAACACAGGCAATCATTTTTTTGGCAAATAACGTAAATCGCCTTTTGGCACAACATGCAATACCCTTCCTGACGCAGCATCAGAGGGGACGTGTGTCACGATTCGCATGTGGAGTAATTTACTATAATTTTCTTGTACAGTTCATCATGCAAAGCCAAAACCTCTTGATGTATCCAAACCTTAGTACACATTTTATGGTAGTCCCTTTAAACAGAAATGCAAGTAAACAAAAGTTATTCCAGTTCATCTTATAGTTATCTGACTCGTTTTCTTGTTTTCCTCAGGTCGGGTGAAGAGGTCTTTTGATGTGGGATTTGCGGGTTTTATGGTCACCACACTCGGGTCCTGGTAGGTCTTAAGGACACAATTTTTCTTCAGTGCCTTTTACGTTTTAGTTAGAATAAACATTTCTGTCTCACCTGTCTAGCTTGTTTACTACTTTGTTGTGTAACTGGAATGCTCCTGTTTCTTCCCACTGTCAAGGTTTTATTGCAGGATGAACAATGCTAAGCTCCGTGTGCAGCAGAGGCTGATACAGGAAGGCATCAAAAACAAGGTCGTGTATGAAGGAACTGTTATGGACCCCACAAAAAAAGGCAAAGCAGAAGCACCTTCAGGCCCCTCGTGACCTCTAGCTCTTTTCCTCTCGGAGGACAAAAGAGAATGCAG